CAAAATATGTAGGTTAAGTAAAAATAAACATAACAAATCAGTATTCAAAAAAATAAAAGCACAACTTATTGGGTCATTTCAAGTCTGTAACACAAAGGAAAAGGCTGGGGATTAGGGACAATGGTGAACTATTTCAAAGATCTGGACTTAATCTCCAGGACTACAAACTACTTATTCATTATTATTATTATTATTATTATTATTACTAAGAAAGTAAAGATAAACTAAATATAGGTTTCTTTTTGTCTTTTCAGTTTAAAATCCAGGAACAGAAGAATGTACTTTTCTATGGGGCTCTAAGCCTCTGAATAAGTATACTGAATGATGCTGCTATAGAACTCCATTAAGTGGTTTCCATCAGAACATCTACATCTACATTGGTTTTCACCCCACTCTAGTGCTCAGGGACACTGATCCACAGGTACTACTTCAGTGGGACTCCAGGTTCTCTGGATCTCTAGCTTTAATGATGGAGTAAGCTGAGATCATTTTTCCATTGGTCTCTCCCAAGTTACCTGACCCAGCTGTGTACCAGCAGCTAAGGTTCACTTCTTGAAATATAGCCCATTCGATCAGAATCTCCTTTGCAACCATAAGCAAATGCTTCCTTTCCTTGTTTCTTTAAGATTAACAATAAGTTCCTCGCTCTGGATTTCCTCACAAATGCCTTTTTGAAAACATACTTTTTACTTAGCTTCTCTAGGATCATGAACTACAGAAAAACATATATAGACCCACCTGGAAATTGGAAACACACTAATCGTCTGACAAAATTGGGAGCATGGGGGGTAGAAGGAAGGGAGAAGGGGAAGAGAAGAAAAGAGGGGAAAGGTTGAAGAAAACATGAGGATAGTTGAGATGGAGGAAGGACAGATATAAGAGCAAGGAAAAAGATAATCTTGTTGAGGGAGCCATTATGGGGTTAGCAAGAAACCTGGCTCTAGAAAAAATCCCAAGAATCCACAAGGCTGACCCCAGCTAAGACCCTAAGCAATAAACGAGAGGATGCCTGAACTGGCCTTCTTCTGTAGTCAAACTGATGATTATCTTAAATATCACCATAGAACCTTCATCCAATAACAGATGGAAACAGAGGCAGAGACCCATATTGGATCACTGGACTGAGCTCCCAATGTTCAGTTGAAGAGTAGAAGGAATGAGAATATGAGCAAAGAGGTCAACACCATAAAGGGTTTATCTAGTGAAACAGTTGACCTGAGCTAATGGGAGCTCACCGACTCCAGCTGGACTGAAAGACTAAGCAGAGGACCAAACTAGTCCCTCTGAATGTGGGTGACAATTGTATGGCTGGGGGAAAACTGAGGGGTCACTGGCAGCGGCACTGGGATTACTCTTGACTGCATGTACTGGCTTTTGGGGATTCTATTCTATTTCGATGTATACCCTGCTCAGCGTAGATGTAGTAGGGAGGGCCTTGGACCTTCCATAAAGCAAAGTGCTTTAGGATTAGAGGGGCTGGGGTGGGAGGGTTTGTGGAGGGAATGAGAGGAGTGGAGGGAGTGGGAATTTGGATTGTTTGTTTTTAAAAATCTAATAAACTAAAAAGAATACATATGATCTCTGAAAAAAAGAAAATATACTTTTAGAACCATATTTGAATAGGTCATTTGTTTTCCTTCAAGATAATGATGGACAGAATCATTTCTCATTCCTTGCTGGAGCATAAAACCCTTTGCTTTGGAGACTGGACTAGATTTCGATTTTTGTGTCATGAGTTTAATTCTGTTCCCTCCACAACAGCATCACCATTGAAGACCGGTTCCTCATGCATGCAGAACTCTCACCATTACACACTATTTAGTCACAACAGAAGTGAGCCACGAGGATAGTTTAGCTGGGGAAATGGTCAGAAGAGAATTGCCTCCAAATCTGGACTCCATCCAAGGGGCAGATGTTTGAAAGCAGCAAAGACATAGAGTATTTATGAACAATCGGAAGTTAGCCTGAGATGTAAAATCAAGCCTACCTCATCAAATATGACGTATCTGATCCTCTTCACCCAGCTTTGGCGATGAGGAGCCAGTAGGAGAATTTCAAAGCAGGCAGGCACAGTAACAAGGACCTAAAAACAGCAGTAGGATGTGAAGTAACACTTAGAATGTGCATAATTATAAAACTACATGAGGCAAAGCTTCTTGAATGTATCTTCTAATAATGAAGATCTGATACTGATGTGGGAGTGATTTCTTATTAATAAAGAAACTGCCTCAGCCCTCATAGGACAGAAAATTAGCTAGGCGGAGTAGACAGAAGAGAATTCTGGGAAAAAGAAGCTGAGTAAGAGTCGCCATGATGCTCCCACTCCAGACAGACGCAGGTTAAGATCCTCTCTGGTAAGCCAGCTCATGGGCTACACAGAATATTAGAAATGGGTTAGAACAATATGTAAGAGCTAGCCAATAAGAAACTGGACCTAGCCTGGCCAGGCAGTGTTTGAAAGAATACAGTTTCCGTGTAATTATTTCTGGGTATAAACTAGCCATGCGGGCGGCCGGGTGCCGGGGACGCAGCCCTGCCGCCGCTTCTATTTCAACATGATACTACATCTAAGAATTGGATTCATTGCACATGTGATAATAGTTTAAACCACATGAAATTTCAATTTTCCTGGGACAAAATAATAAAATATCAAATTTGAAGTGCATATTCTTGTTAATGAGCCTTCCAAATGTGTCCAGCCCTGAATGGGACATATTTTGACCTCTTTCCAAACACAACAAACAGCAAAGGAAATGGAAAGAATGAGAGAGCTAGTGGAAGGCATAGTGTATTGTGAACTGCTGTCTTCTGAACCAGGCCTGGCAGTTCCACCCATGCACTAACAGTAACTGTGGTTATCTTTGTACAAAACCTGCAGAGCAAACCAGTCAAAATTCCAGCATGAATGAGAAAGCACGCATAAGGCTACGCCCCCGCAGAGGAGTTATTGGCAGTTGGTGGCTGTTGGGAAAGAGACATGATACTGGGAGGCCTGTGGAAGAATGGAGGGAGGGAAGGGAGGTAGAAGGAGAAAACAGGGTAGGTGGATATGATCTTAATACACCTCAAACACATATCAAATTCTCAAGGAATAAATAAAAATATGTTAATTAAACAAATATTTTTAAAAGAAAAATATATAAGAATCAAAGTCATTAATCTTAATATTCTTTTTGTTTTTGCTTTTTAAAACAAGGTTTCTCTGTGTAACAGTCCTGACTGTTCTAGAACTCACTTTGTAGACCAGGCTGTCCGCAAACTCACTGAGATCCACTCGCCTCTGCCTCCCAAGCGCTGAGATTAAAGATGTGTACAACCACTACCTGGCTTAATTTTACCTATTTTGAATCTTTTCAAATCTAACACTAACAAAGAATTTGTGTTGGAAGGTATTTTTTTGAAAGGCAATTTCAGTAATACATTGCCAAATCTTCAATATAATGTACTATAAGCATGTCTTATCTTTCATTTCATCCTAATTATTAATCTGAAAATTCATTAAGAAAACTAAAACTTCATTAACAACACATTCATTAATTACAACACAACACTTTTAACTTTTAACAAGAGAAAGTAATTATGATAATACTTTGCTACCCACTAAGTTTCCATAGTTTGATAAGCTCTTTGAATCCTTTTGAATCTCATTGTAAAACAACTTGATAGTGAACTATAAACTAAAATCTTAAATCAAAATGAAAGCATCTTTAAAGAAAATGAGTTCTATTTATTACATGATTTATAATGTAAACAAATTTATATTTTCACTGAAGCAAAATACAACATTGCTATATAATCTGATATCAAGTTTATTAAGTAGTATGGCAAACCTGGCAGTTCAGGGCATCATGACGATAATCCCTAGTAAAAACGCCACAAACAACTTGACCAGCTGGCAGAATTTTGGTGTAACGATTTTGGACAGTTGCTGCCACTTGATTCACAAGTGCCTAATTGACAGGAAAACAGATGTAGTAGTTATATAATAAAGTATATATCAGCAAAAATTAATGTAATGATGGAGCTCTTCAAAACTATATTCTGCTATGAATTCAGAAAACTTAATAAACCCCTTTCTTCCAAAGTTTCTTGTCATGGCATTTTATCACAGTAATAGGAACACCTAATGAAGACTACCCCAAATGAAAGTGTGGATAATTCCAATTACACAAAAATATTAATTTTATCATTAGAAGGTAAAAGCCTGACCCATGAAGGTATATTTCATTGTGGTTCAGAAATAGATATATTATTCGTTACACAAAATCTGATGAATTAGTACAAAGTAGGCAAATGTATGTCTGCCTCTCCTCTACCCTCAACCCCTCCACCCTATCCCCCATCAACACCTGAGGCAGAGGGGACAGCAGGCCGTGAAGTCATAAGAACAGAGAACTGTCTGTCTGATCCCCACCAGCTAAAACTAGGGAGAGCAGGTCTTGTTGCCTGGGTAACACAATGGAGCCAACTCTATTGGCACAAGTGAGGGTTAGCCAGCTCTGAAATAGTGAGCAATGGACAGCTGCCCCCGTCACTCATCTCTCCTGTGAAGACATGAGGGAGCAAAGGAGAGGTTCCTTCCTCCTCACTCCCTGCCTATCAATGCCTGAGGCAAGATTAAAAACTAGCCCTGACAATCTTACCAAAAAGCAATCTACAGATTCAATGCAAAGCCCATCAAAATCCCTGAGAAATTCTTCACAGACCCAGAAATAACAATACTCAACTTCATAAGGAAAAGTAAAAAAAAAAAAAAAAAAAAGAATAACCAAAACAATCCTGCACAGTAAAGGAACTTCTGAAGGCATCACAATCTCTGACTTCAAACTCTACTACAGAGCTACAGTACTGAAAACAGCCTGAAGCCTGGTGTTGGCATAAAAACAGACCAAAGGACTAATGGAACCAAATCAAAAATCCCATCGCGTCTGCCCCAGAGAGCAGAGCTAAGGTGTATGAGCTCACTTCCTCTTCCTCCCAGAATTCTGTTCTGTTTACTCCACCCACCTAAAGGCTGGCCTATCAAATGGGCCAAGGCAGTTTCTTTATTAGCCAATGACCTTCCTCCATCAGGGAAGTATACTGGAATACATTAGCACAGACCACTTCTTAAATATAACCTCAGTAGCACAGACACCTAGAGAAACAATTAATAAATGGAACCTCCTGAAACTGAAAAGCTTCTGTAAAGTAAAGGACATGGTCAACAAGACAAAACAGCAGCCTACAGAATGGGAAAAAATATTCATTCACCAACATCACATGGGACAGAGGTCTGAGCTCCAAAATATACAAAGACTCAAGAAGTTGATCATCAAAAGAACGAAACATTCAATAAAAAATGGAGCACAGATCTAAACAGAGGACTCTCAATAGATGAATCTAAAATGGCTGAAAGACACTTAAGAAAATGCTCAACAATCTTAGCTATCAGAAAAATTCAGATCAAAATAACTCTGAGATTCTATATTACACCTGTAAGAATGGCCAAGGTCAAAAACACTGATGACAACTTATGCTGGAGAGGTTGTGGGGTAAAGGGAAGACTCCTCTATTGCTGGGGGGAGTGCAAACTGGTACCAACAGCTGGAAATCAGTATGGCAATTTCTCAGGTAATTAGAAATCAACCACAAGACCCAGCAATACCACTTTTGGGTATATACCTAAAGGATGCTCAATCATGCCACAAGGACATGTGCTCAACTATGTTCATAGAAGTTTTGTTTGTCATAGCCAGAACATGCAAACAACCTAAATGTCCCTCGACCAAAGAATGAATAAAGAAGATGTGGTACATTTACACAATGGAATACTATACAGCAGGAAAAAAAAATGATGACATCTTGAAATCTGTGGGCAAATGGATGGATCTAGAAAACATCATATTGAATGAGGTAACCCAGACCCAGAAATACAAATGTAGTATGTACTCATCATAATTGACTTTGAGACATAAAGCAAAGAAAAACCAGCTTATAATTCACAATCCCAGAGAACCTAGATAAGAAAGAGGACCCAAAGAGAGACATACATGGATCTAATCTACATGGGAAGCAGAAAAAGACAAGATCTTCTGAGTAAATTGGGAGAGTGGAGATCATGGGGGAGGACGAGAGGGGAGCAGAGACAAATATATTGCTTAATAAAAAGTAAAAATAAAAGAAATAGCCTAAAGTCATAGGATCAGGAAAGCTGTCCTGGCCCCCCACTAGATGCAAATCTTGGGAGAGCAGGCCCTGCACCTCACCTGGGTAGCACAATAGAGCCGAACTTGTTGGCAGAATTGTGAATGAATCTACTGTAAACTTGTAAGCATGGCAGAGCTGTCCTCACTACTCCTGTCATGTGGTGGTGTAGGAAGATGAGAGATGCCCCCTTTTACTCCACACCCCTCATTGCCTGCAGCAGATAATAGAGCTGACCCTCTTCCTCACAAGCTGCAGCACTCAGGAAATTGCCCTGATGCTTGCCTGGGCAGCACAGCAGAACTGCCTGGTGGTCAGAGGTGGGGATCATCCATCCCAGCGTTATGAGCCAAGGAGAACTATCCCCATTACTCACTAGACAGGTGGTAGCATGAGCAGAAGGAAGATGTCCTCCTCCAACCTCACATCCATCAATGCCTGAGATGGGTAGAGAAGTTAGTCCTGGTATTATAAGAGAGGGAGGGCAGTCCCTGTCTGGCACTAGCTGCAGCACTCAGAAGAGCGGCCCCTGTAACTCACCTGAGCAACATAATGGAGCTGACACTAATGGTACAGGTGTGGGAGGGCATGAAAGCAGGAGAAATGGCCCCACCCCTTACTCATTGCTGCAAGAGAAGAATTAACCCCAGCAATGTTGGAGGGCTTACCCTAGTGGTGATGACAAAGGAGAGCTGGTTGGTCGACCAACCTAACAGCTGCCCAGGCCCAGAACTACAGTTATTCTTTGGGCCACCCCAACATCCACCCCATCCTTGATCTGCTGTAGCATGTGAAGGCACTTGATCCACAGACCCAAAGCTGCAGGATCTCCAAACACAGGGCAACAACAGAATATCCAAGAAGAGTCCTAGTGAGGGCCCAGCATCTATAGTGTAAAAGAATCCAGAAGCCTTGAACCAGACCAATGACTCTGCAATGAACACTTGAAAGTAAAGATCTATGGGGGAAGGGGTTACTGCGTGACTCACTGCAGCTTTCATGATGATATTTTTAATTTTTACCTTCTTTCTTTTTTCTCTTAAATTTTGTTTTATTTGAGAGGGTGCTTAGGTGTGGAGGGCAGATGTGAAGGGACAGGGAAATGAATGGGATCAAGGTACATTACATAAGAGATACACAGAATAAACAAAAAAATGTAAAAACAGAAGAAAAAGAAAAAAGGCAAATATGTCATCAAGTACATCACGAATAAAGAAATACGACAGACCAAAAGTCATAAAAATAATACTGCCTAAATCATTAGTATTTAGAAGTCAAAATATGCAAATATACAAAATGTACATCTAAAAATTCTACTACTTCTGAGTATAGCAGAAACACTCTGAATAACAACAGAAACCTTGAGAAAGATTTGAGATTCCATCTCACTCCCATTAGAATGGTTAAGTTAAGAAAACAAATGTTAACAGTCAAGAAAATACGTGGAAAGAGGAACTCTTAATCACTACTGTTAAAAGTATAATCTGGTATATCCACTATAGAAATCATTACTGAGGTTTAACAAGGCATGAAAAATGAAACTACCTCATGACCTAGCTACATCACTCCTTCCTGGGTATAGACCCCAAAGTCTTCCAGTCTTACTAAAGAGATATGTGCACATCCATGTTGTTACCTCCACTATTTCAATAGCTAGAAAACAGAGGCAATCTTGATGTCCATCAGCAAACTAATAGAAAAAAAATGTTGTACAAATACACAACTCTATTCAAAGAAACACAAAAATGAAATTGCAGAAAATAGATACAGCTGGATATTATTATATTAAACAAAATAACACAGGCTCAGAAAGACAAATACCACATGTTTTCTCTTATATTTGGATTATAAAATTATTTAATAATAATATTTAATTTTATTAAATATTTATTTAATAATATTTGTATATATAAAACTAAATTATATATAATTATATATATAGATATAATGTGGGAGACAGTGGGTATAGGGCATTAAGGGAATCATGAGAGGGCTATAGGTCATAAGAGAAGAAGGGAAATAAGATAATAGAATATATATGACTTGAAAGTGGAATGGGGGCTACATGAGAACACAAGGGAGCAGTAGAGGGAGATTATATCATGGGAGATGTAGTGGTGAAGAAGGGTCAAAAATAATGTACAAAAATTCTATTATGAAGCCCATTATTTTGTATGCCAATTTTAAACGGTGAAAATGGATAAACGAAACTAGATATACCACATTTCCCTGTCTAATAGTTTGAGTAAGCTTTGGAATAAAGAAAAATGTTACATGCACTGGATCCCTACCTTTGTGGGTGAAACATACACAACCACGCCTTCATCACTCTCCTTCAGCACCTTCTCCATGCAGTAGTAGGAAGCATAGGTTTTGCCAGAGGAGGTTGGGGCAACAATCACTGCAGATTCGTTGTTATCCACCACATCCAGCAGCTCCCGCTGCAGGGGTCAGACCATGATTTGTATCAATCAAACAAGTCATATGCTACCCCAACAGATCATTCCTTTACCATTCTGATTTTTCTGAACCTCAGTGATGATTCTCAGAGCTGCAGACACACAGAAAATCTAAAAGTAAACTCTGATAGACAGTTCATTCTCTCAAACGATGCAATTTGTTTGCTTTTGAGCAGCTGACAGATAAGTCTTACATGTGAAAATGGAGTAGAAAAACTAAAAAGAACTGCACAGGAAAGGGAGACTATTCAGGAAAAAGAAGGAGCCAATGAGGAAGACAGTAAAGCAAGGTGTATTGACAGAAATGTGACTAAAGTATACAACATAGAGGGAGGAAAAGACCATAATAGAACATGCTCTTTTGTACAAAAGAAAAATCACTCAAAAATTGTGTTAGAATAAGATATTACTATTAGGAAGATCGTTTTTAATGTTTTATAGAGAAGTATAGTTGTTGGAACCAGCCAACACACATTTTTATGGCAGTAAGCAAATGGTTGAAGCACAGAAATAGCAAGGATTCTTCATTTTGCTGCTTACCCTTGAAGGGTGACTATTTGGTAGCATCATCTTAGCATTCTATTATTTCATTTATCAAGATGATGAGTAGTCAAAAGAATGGACAACCTATGTGAAAGATAGAAGACAGAAGGTATTCTCAAATGACAACCTGCCATTCTGTGAACCTAGTCCTCCCCACATGCCACACATCAGAACGAAAAGGGCATGAAAAAATTAGAAGGTGTATGGAAAATAGGAATAAATGTTCCTGCCCTTTAAGCCTACACTGAAATAAGACATTGGTCTCCTGCTCATGGAAAATCAGAATTTTGATATACAATGTTTCAGCCCAACTAGCTTTGTCTATTTCTTGCTTTCACTCTTAGGCTTCCTCACACAAGCTGATCCACCCCAATGTGATGTCATTCTGTTCACAAGCTGGTACTGGAAACTAGGCTCATGGAGTCATCTGAGTATCTTTACATTAAAGCTAGGGTGTCTCGGGTTTTTCATTACATTAATGAAAAGTGACTTACGAAATATGAACTGACTGGAACAGCTAGTCAGATTGAACCTACAAAATTGCATTTCTATAAGTAAATAATACTCAAGTTATCACTCACACACACACACACACACACACACACACATATATATATA